ATGCCAATGATGGAGGCCGGTGTTCGCCTTGTTGTTCTCCGATTCGCTGGACGTCGTCGTCATCGGTGAGAGTGGGAAAGTGGAGGGAGGGAAGAGAGAGTGGCGAGGGAAGATAAGGATAATTATTGTCGGTGCTTCAAGAAGCAACACGACTTCTCAAGTGTGGCTCCTCGCGTCCAGCCGCCGCCGCCCACGTGCATCGCGCGGGCCTGGCTCTGAAAAAACTGCCGACTTGGACGTTCCTAACGCGCTTGGCTAGGAGCTGCTTTAAGTTTCGTGTGATATAGAACCAATAGTGAACGCATGGGAACCAAATAGCCCATTTTCTTTCCGGGTAGGTCCGGTTGGCCTCTATGCAGGCTACCATACACGCCCTAAGTGCGTGTAGGTGATGTTACATATTCCATAGAGAGAAAAGGAGAGCTTGGCCGATTTTATGGCAATTTCATCAGTTGTACTTGTATGTCTTCCTCTGCTTTTGAATTTAATTCTATTCATGCGCCCGTTGCTTGCTACAATAATTATTTCATGTGTATAAGTGCGAAGTTTTAGGAGACACCTTAGTTTCGGAAAACTCAGAAAAGAAATTGCCATGTTTCAAAAACACTCAAAAACAATTATGTGAAGACTTATACATGTTCACTTCAGGTCTGTAAAATTTTGTTAAAAAAATATTATGATTTGTAAGCTACACAAATGAAGCAAAATCCTGTCCCAAGAAAAATAATCGGCCCATTTTCATGTATGTATTTATCTTATCTTTGTAAGCCACGTATGAAAATATATTGTTATAAAAATTCACACGTATGTAGTATACATGTGTGTACGCTACTTTAAAAAATCAATGTATAAAATCGGTATTTGAGTGCGGGGCCCATGGAGCCCGTCCTCTATTTGCACTTTTCGACGTTCTCTACCACTATAGCTAGTGGTGCCCTTAGGGCATCTCCAGCCGCGTCCTCAGGAAGGCCTCCCTAAGCGTTTTTTTGCACCGGCGCCGAAAAATCGGCCTAGTCACGCCCTAGGAGCCCGATTTTCGCTGGCCTGGGCCGAAAACAGCGCCGGCGGACCCAGACCGAACCCGGCGCGCTGGGGGGCGCCCGGGGGTGCCGGGGCAAACTGTTTTGGTGCGAAACAGCCGCGGGCCCGCCGCATCAGGGACACGGCTCTCTTCTCGCCCCTTCGTCGTCCTCATCGCCTTGTTTCCCGCGACGAATCAATGCCAAAGCTGTCGCGCTGCCGCGCCGGTCAGCCTGCGCCATTGATGCCTCACGGGCGGCGTAGTGAAGACCGGATGACGCGCGTCCCTCACCCTCCCTCGCCCGCCACGCGTACACACGGCGGCTCGCGCACGGGCGGCGCCTCGGCCTATATAAGACGCGCCCCAGCGCACTCGGCGACTCGCACTCTCTCGCCGTCGTCGTTCCTCCCTCTCCTCTCTCTCGCCGTCTCCAGTTCATCACACCCATGGCCGAGCGCTTCCCAGGCGACGGCGCGGCGGCGAACGGCTTCGGCCGCCGCCATCTTCACGAGGACGAGGCTCGCCTCCTTTTCGAGGCCGAGTACCCGGTCCCGCCGGACATGCGGGTGCCCGGGGCGTGGAGGATCAGCACCGGCGGCGTGCCGGTGCCCCCGGTACCCACCGGCGCGGCGCGGCGTCCGGAGATCGCACGCATCCGCTCGTCCCTGCCGCGTGTGGCGAGGGAGGGGCCACGGTACGTCCCCGACAGCCCGCTCTGGGAGCCTTATTTCCGCCGCCGTCACGCCGAGCAGCTCGAGGCCACCAACGGCGTCGTGCCCTCGGAGAGGCTCAACGCTGCCGGCCGGCATCGGTGGTGGGGCGTGCCCAGGCGCACATTGGAGGCCGTCCTTGAGTACATCGAGGGCGGAAACACGCGGCGCCTCGAGTACCCCGCTCCCCCGTCCTTCTCACGCCGCCGGGGAAGCTCCTGGACCCCGAGGCGCATGGAGACCGGGGGGTCCTCCTCCTCATCCGGCGGCTCCCCCTGCCTCCACCTCCGCCCCGTCAAGTCGGAGCCCCAGGGCACGCCTGTCAGCGCGCGCACCCGCAGCTCCGGCGTCCGCATCGGCGACAACGCCTCCCCCACCGGTCGCTTCGTCCTCGTCGAGCCCAAGCCGAAGCCCGGCCTCTCCGCGGAGTACGAGGAGATAGCCCGGCGTGGCTTCTCCGACGAGGATGCCCTGCGGTGGGCGCGGGACGACTACCTCCGCGACGAGATGGTCCGGCAGCGCCAGGCCCTGGAGGAGATCGCCGCCCACAAGCGTGGGCGCGAGGACGAGCACAGCGTTGTGGTCCTCGAGAGCGACGATGACGACGACGCCCCCGGACCGTCCAACCCGCCGCGCCAACCGGCGGAGGGATGCAGCAGGGACGGCGGAGGCGTCGGCGAGGACGACGGCGGTGACTACGCGCGGTTCTACAGCCTCCTCGGCATGTAGAACCGCGTGGGCGGGCGGCGAGGCGGGCGGCGAGGGAGACGGCGGGGGTAGCCCGCGGTAGTTTTTCCTTTTTTTTGTAAAATATGTTTAAATTTGAACGAAATCAAACGTGTTTGCGTTGTGTTTGCACTGAATTTGAACATTTTAAAAACCCGTGGGGGCACGACTGGGGGGCATCACGCCCCCAGTGCGCGGTTTAGCGCCGGTGCGCCCCCAGGGGGCGATTTTTTGCCCCTCCTAAGGGGCCAACGGCTGGAGATGCCCTTAACAACCACGCATTTTCCATTTGGACGCTGCCCACACAAGTTTAGCAAATCCAAATCAAATAGTATCTTCCTCTCAAAAAAATATGCTGCTACAAAATATATGTGAAATTCTTAATTTCAAACATAGTTAAATCTCATACTAAGATGTCATTGTGTTTAAAATTCTTGCATTATCATATGAGTATTTTGAAATGGTTGTTTAATGCCCCTCCCCCGCGTCGCCCTCCTCTAGCGACACACGGGAACCCTAGCCGCCGCCAAGTAGTCCCCTTCGCCATCCTCTCCCGCGTCACCGCCGCAGAAGGGACAGCCGGCGAAGCCGGGCCGGGCCCCATGATGGTGGCGGTTGGGCGGATCTGGTCCATCTCGTGC